GACAGAAATTGATACTGATAGTGCTTCCATCATCAGAAGCAGGGCATGCATCTCTTGGGACTTTTTGCCTAGCAAAAAGCAAACAGTAGAAGATGGCTGTAATTCGAAGGCAGGTCCCAGAACTGATTCTTCGCATGACCAGATAGTGCTAGGAAGTTTTCCTGTATACTCCTTGCCATCACAAGGTAGAGTGCTGGGGAGTACTCTTAAGAGAGCCACTGCCAGGTGCTACAGACAGTACTGAGCTAGACAGACCGATGGTCCAAAATTATATGAGACAGTTTCTTGCGAGGGCTGCTGACATCATGACTGTGGACTCTTCGATGCATCTGGCTGCCTACTGTTGGTATAAGGATGCTTGGTTAGATGGATCTTTCATGTCATGTGATCTTCTAGTTCATCTATTATCCTTTTCTCCAGATGTGTCCATACCTTAAAAAAAGTCCAGGTTCCTTATGGGGACAAGGAATATGTTGCGTGAACTTAACCTTTGGTGATCTCTTTTTATTAAACAGATAGATACTATCTAATAGTGTTAGAAGAGTGTAAGAAAGCTTTATGCTGAGCTATACTACCAAAGGTAAGGTGCACATGTTATCCAGACACTGCAAGGGTAGAAGACATACAGTTGCTTTTTCTCCAGCCCTTTAGTATTAATATAACAGTGCATTACAAATATAGGGATATACTTGGGCTTGCGTATGTTGGTCAGCAGCTTCAGTCAATAAAATGAAAAATGTTCAACGGCACAGCAGACTATATACTTAAAGGATCGTTAGTGTTACTTTATTTCTTCAGTAGCCTCCAGAAATCACTAAGATTTTGGAGATCCAAGTCAGACAAATCTTGCTGCTTTTTTATTTTTATTTTTTTTAAATTACAGTAAAAGTTGCTTACCGGCTCTGAAATAGCATTTCTTGTGGGGAAGACTGGGGGGAGAAGGCCTTCAGCAAAATGGAATGTGATGAGTGGAACAAAATGCTAAAAGTGCAGAAACTCCATCAGGGCAACATAAAAAAGACAAAAAACCAGACCACCCCTCCATTGAGGAGCTGCAGAAGATCTAAGTAGCTTGAGAATAAATTGCACATTGATTCAGATATGGACAGGTGCTAAGAAAGTCATTTAGTAAATGTTCAAGGAATCTGCTGGGAGGAAAGAAATGTGTTGCTTTTGAGATAATTTCCCAGAAGCTTCATAAAAGAAAATTGATTACAGGGATTTAATAAGTAAAGGAGAGCCAAAATATATAGTAATCAAATGAGTTTTTAATTACATTTCAGACAGATATAAAACCCAAATAGTGTACTTTGTATCTAGAAAGTCTGAGAGTAGTGCTTTGGAGCTGAATTATTTTTAAAAGGCTAATTTCCACAGGAATTATAGCAGTATGTTTAATTAAAAGAGTGATTCTGTGTCCCAAAGCCCAAGGTATACTAAATACACAAATAGGGCTTAAATATCAGAGGTACCTATGAAGGAAGACGTTTTATACCCTCTACATAAAATCTACCCTTTGGAGTATTTCTAATCCAAATGTCGTCTGATTAATGTGCATAACAAATGACAGTGTTTTTTAATTGTGCTATATATTTTACCACTGTTCTATAGAATTAATTGCCTATACCTTCCTTACGACTGAAAATCAAAGATCAGGGAAATACTCCCTTCAACTCTTTTTACTCTGTTTTCATAACCTTGAGACAATAAGCTGACAAGGGTCCTGATCCTTATTATTTAATCTTCAAACTCTTGTGTTGCTAGACTAAATGTGTAAATTCATGTTTGCTATACCTAAAAATGTTTGATCAATGTATAGCATGCTCTGGTCCATGGGGTCATGACTGACACGACCTAACGACTGAACAATAGCTATTATAAGGCCACATTTAGGAAAAACGTCATTCTGAGCCAAGTCCAGTGTAACATAAACAGATAATGGCTTATTTGGTGGGGCTGTTCTTTCTTTTCTCTCCCACCTCCACCACTCTGGGCATGGGGCTGTGGAGGAATCATCATTTCTTTACTCTTCAATTAGCAGATGCTGTTCTGCAAAACAAGAGTAAACTCCACCCCTCTGGCTGCCACAGCCAGTAGCCGTGCTGACTAGGAGATGAGAAAGGAAATCTTGTCAAGCTCTGTGTCCCAACCACTAGTCCAAAATAAATGTGTATGGAGGAACAGAATGGTGCCTTCTGTGACCCCGCAACACAGTTCAGTGCTTCCCTGTTCCCTCAGAGAGTCAAACTGGAGAGTGCGATTAGACCATTTTCTGCAGAGTTGCTCCCTTTACTGATGAAATAGGTCTGTTTGTCATTATATTCCCCCATTTATGTATTGTGCATTAAACCGGCTTTGTTTTGTGATTGGTCACTGGAAAGTAAACATGGATTTATTTGCAAGTCTGATTACTGAGGCATATTTCTCTGACGAAATCCCACTGTGGAAGGGGGAAATGGCTTAATCAGAGGTAATAAGTATTGCCATTCATTTCTATTTTGTCCCATTTATGGGGCTAGTGTATTTTTCTCTCAGTGCTGGCCTTTCAGACTTCGAGGTGTTCCATCTATATTAATCACCCATATCTTCTCACTCTGTATGCTAAGGCCAGCCTTAAACCACCTAGTCCGTTATGTGGGTTTGCTAGGGCTGCAGCCCTTCTCAGCTGAATGATAGCTCATCATGAAAAGTGCAGAGTACATGAATTTCTGCAGCAGAAAACTCAACTAGCCCAATTTAATTGGGCAGTGACCTGTGTATGACACTATTATGGAGCCGAACCATGTATAAGCTTGCCTGAGGAGCTGCAGCAAATTTATATTACCCATAATATAGAGATATCACAAGTGGTACCTTCAGCGACATTCTGCAGCATCGCTTCTCCTCCTTCCAGCCATCTGGCTGTGCCCTTCTTCAGCATCCTCCATGCTGCCCCCTCCCCGAACAGACTTCAGGTTTTTTCAGAAGCCTTCACAGCTTCTGTTGCCATCATTGGGTTGCTTTAACAAAGGATGGGGTGGGGGTTCTTACCTTTTTAAAACTTTTTACATTTTTTAGGATTTTTAAACAGAAATTCTTCCCAGTTCTATAAACATCAGAAATCACCTACACATGTCATTACTTCTCTCAAAGTCAGCCTGAGCTTGCTATTAGAAAAAGAGGTATAAAATTATATATAGAGAAAGACAGACTTCACAACCCAAGGAGTCTGTCATGTTAAATAAGGGAGTCAAGGGAACCTGATTCCTCATAAAGGAGTGTTGACGTCCATGCAACCATTTGCGCACTGAGAAATAAACACGGCCTTAAGTTACCATTTTCAAGAATCTTTAGTACCAAAATACTTACGACACTCAGTGGTGTATAGTTTATTTGTTTTGACGTTTTCTTCTTTTACAAAATCCTGCCACCTAAGACTACAATCTATGGTGGAAAATCAGGGTGGCATTGAGAGAGGGCTTCTGTCAGGAGTAAAGCTGAACACAACTTGTGTGTTGCAAGCACTTTGCCGCTGAGAACAGCACTGTTCTTATTTGGAAGCAGTATTTTTTAATTATTACTATTATTATTTTGATTCATTTTCCATTGGATTAATTTTCCATTGGGTAACTAAGCCTTTAAAGGAAAGGGATTTGGATCTCAGGGTATTGGGGTAAATTAAAAAAATACACAGTGTGATAGAGAACAGTATATACCATTATTATATTTGTTGATATGTTTCTTACTGAACTTGCTTCACCCTTATCTTACCATTTTTTCTAAGCCTTTAAAATCTAAAATTATATCTTATAATTTATTTCCCGTAATTTTAACCCAACTTGGGAGCAGTATTTGATGGTGGAACAAAGAGTCAACAAGAAGGAAACAAGCACATCAGGCCCATGCAGCTAGACATGCTTCCATCCACCATTTTGAAGCTTGTGAACTCTTGGCAAAGGGTAAACCCCATCCAGGCCATTTTTTGACAGCCAACTCAGATGTGAAATAAATAAATCTCCCCCAGTTCCATGTTGTTTTCCCTTCAGATACTCACTGTGAACCACACCGGTCTTACCAACATAATACTCATGTAGCAATTGCATTTGCTGCATGTAATGTGGAGTAGTACACAGAGTAGCAAGGTGCTCGGTGTAAAGAAAGGCATCCAAGGGGTCAGGTCTTCTCTGCAGTGGATTAGAATGTTGGTCTGGGGCTCACTAAGAGAACCCAGGTTCAAATCCCAATTCGGCTATTAAACTAATAAAGAAGCCTTAAGCCACTCGTATCTCTTAGCCTACCTTCCTATACAACATTGTTGTGAGTATAGAAGAGGTGCATGGGGGACTAAGTATACTGCTTTTAGGTCCTTGAAAGAAAAAAAAGATAAATGAAAACTTAAAATTAATTCAGTTTTTATTGTAATGAAGAGTTACTAGTAGTGGAAGGTCAGGAAAAATAAAGCATATTTGTCCTCTTTGCTTTGGTGGTTTCACTTTGTTTTCACTTTCCCCTACCCACTTGCCAAAGACACTATGAAGATTGTTCTCTAAACACTTTTCCTTTAGTATTCTCAAACAGCAATGGCAAATGAGCAAAATACAACATGTGTAATAAGTTAATCATACAACAGCCAACCAAGTATCTTGAATAAGCATACAGACAGACAGACAGACAGACAGACAGACAGACAGATAGATAGATAGATAGATAGATAGATAGATAGATAGATAGATAGATAGATAGATAGATAGTTACAAACAATAGAAACATGAGGTGTACTGTACTGGAAAGGAGCCCTTCTCAGGGATCCCAGAGGCAAGCTGAACTGAGGACAGATAGCATGTTTTGTCTGCATTGGAATTAGAAACACGAGGTGTACTGTACTAGAAAGGAGCCCTTCTCATGGATCCCAGAGGCAAACTGAACTGAGCACAGATAGCATGTTTTGTCTGCATTGGAATGTAAATGCCTTTCTCGCAATAAGCAGTCTGTGTGATCTGCCCTCTTCTGCTTTCTTCTAGGCTTTAGTGAAAGTAAATGGAAAACTGAAGCCTATGCTGGATTCCGTGGTGGCCAACAGAAGGAGGTGGGAGGAGCTGCACAAAAAGAGAAAGCTTTCCCCGGTGATGACCACAACATTCTCTCCCTCCTCTTCTTCCGACTTTGCCACCTCTCTGGAGGACATAAATTGAGTCTGCAGTTCTGCTGCTGATCAGCTCCAGAAGCTACCGGAAAGGCTTGTCGTGAAAGCTCCGTCTCGTTTTGACACAACAAAAAGCCTGTCTGGCCACAGGGCCCGGCTTCTTCAGCTGCGAGGTCACTCAGTCGGTCGAGGAGGAACTGCAGGGAGACGGCGTGGGTTTCTTCACTCACCCACAAGCTTGGTGCAGTCATCATTCGGCCAGCTCGTCTGAGCTGCTGTTGTGAAAACTGACCCACAAGGTCACAGCAGATGGCCATAACTGGAGCTTACAGCTTTGGTGGAATTTGTGAAAGAGTGCATGGGTGAAATGTTACAAAATTAAAAACTGGAGTACTGTCCAAGGGCGGGGAGGAGAGAACAGTTTGTAATAATAACCCGGGTTTGCATCTTTCTAGCTTTTGCTAATAGAAATCAATTATACTTGCTTTTGTGATGTTTATTCTTTTATCCCTTTCCTTTTTTAAAAATGCTTGAGTGTTCAGAGAAGCCTGCTTTGTATTCCGCAAATGTATTTTTTAAAAAAACAGTCACAAGAAAGCTTCACATGATTGATCGGGCTTTTAGATTTGCCTATCTTTGCTACATGTGAGAGGGGGGAATTAACTTTATTACATTTAAAAACACCAACCTATTCTGGCTTCCATAAGAATTTCATACTAGCAATGCAGTTTGAATGGCTCTGCAGGCGGAAGCTTATATAAAGGTAAATTTCCTGCATGATAGATTCAGTTCTTTTAAATTTTTATTTTAAATGTTCATTTTTAAAGCTGCTTTGCACACCTAAGAAAAGAACCAATGGTATTTCAGGAAAATTACACAATAAAAATGAAATCTGTTGCCTTCTGGTAGAAAATTTGCACTATAGGATATGATCATGACTTTCTAGTACATTTTCTGAATCACATTAATTCTATTATTCTTATGGGTCTACATGGCTTTAGACTAAATCATGAAAGAAGCAATGACTACCTCTGCCTTTTCTGGCCAGTTAGTTGTTGGTTGGTTTGTAAACAACATGTTAGTCTAATATGTTGCAAATAATAGAAATCAAGGGTGAAATTGTACGGTGATACAGCTCATTTTTTAGGATGCCTATGCCATGGTCTGGTTTGATCTGTTTCCTGGTCACCAGGAGATCACAAATCAGCCTGACCCTGCTCCATGGCCAATTGGGCTACTCTTTTTTGGAGTAGGGCTGCAGCAATTGGGACACAGAACAGTTGCTTCAAAGGAAATTGCACCCAGCATGATCCTATATCGTCTGAACGCATCCCGAGTCAAAATTGCATGTGTTGAGATATGATGAGGGATTTTTTTGCATGAGTTTGTAAAATTTGATTCACATTTGGTAAACAGAAAAGTGAAATGTCTATGCTGAAAATGAAGTCACTTCTCCTTTGTACAACATTAGCCTCCCACACTTCTGTTTCCACGCTGACATGGCAAGCTAATGGACCTCTCCGTTCCCTAATTCAAGTTGGAATAAAATGGTATATTCAGCTTGCATTCATGCAGCCAATTTGGTATACTGAGAATATGGGCTGAGCACACTGATAAACACCATTCACAACATGGTGAATCTGTTGTTGCATTACCCTAACCTCATAGTCAGGCAACAAGTCAACCAACCTTTTCTGCGCTGTTATGTCAGCTGAGCATTTGCTAATTCTGTACAAGCCCACACAACTCCTATTCTAACCGTAGAGTTTGGATATCTAAATTGGCAGCCTGTTAGGATTCTGGCAGTGTAACTGGGATTCCTTACAACAGGGATCCCTATAGTCTCTGCCTTCAGTTGCTCTCCAACAGTGTTCTAGAAGTAGGGAGTAAATAAGGTGGTGGTTTTCACATACATAGTGGACTCTGCCTTATGCAGAAGTTATAAGGAAAAGAACTACACTAAGAAATTGGTATTTCTGAAAGTAGCTGATTCTAAAAAATACACTTGGTTTCAAACATTGAGACTTAGGGCATGGGGTGGAGAATCATTTTGGGAGTATGGGGGGGTGTTCCCCCTATTTCCCCCTACCCATAGGGCAGTTAACATCAGCAGCTATGTTACCGTGCTCCCTGGCCAAGGCGCTTGCTAGACCTCTTTCCAGTGTGGCCCCAGAGAAACTCAAGTAGAAACAAACCTGGACACCCCACTAAGGCAGTGGCCCAGAAACTCCAGTGGCTCAGCTGGACAGCCAGGACAGAGAAAAGTGGTGGGGAATTAAACACACACAGCTGGTGCTTCATGAGCTGATGGAGTCCCAGCTTGGCTCCAGGTCTCCCGTCCCTTCCCCGTGCAAGGGAGACCGAGAAGGGGCAAAGCCCTCTTCACTGGAGCCCTTGAATCCCAAGTGGAAAGTCCCAACGCCGCATGTGTGCCCAGTGTGGGTGCTTCTTGCATCTTTCATGAAACCCCTTGGGCTGAACTGCTGGACCGGCCCAGCAAAATCTGGTCCACGGTCCAGAGATTCTTCACCCTCGAGGTAGAGGGACGTGACGGCAAGTTTAAAAGGCTCTCTTCCCCACATTAGACAGGATAGGAAAGGAGGATAATAAACAAAAACAAAGACAACTTCTTGTATTGCCTTTGGGGGGGGGACAAAAATGCCCATTTTGGGGCTACATAACTAAAATGCTCATGTTTGGAACTGGCAGCTCTTACTCCAACCGTTACCTTGCAGGAGGGCAGTGCCCAAGGGCACCTGTGTCCTTTTACCCCTTCCTCCACTTTGGCAGCCTGAGGTAAATAAGGAAGTTTACAATATATTCCTATAGCACTAGACATCTTGAGGGGATTTTCAGCTCTAAACCATATCCTAACCATTCAATGAGAGAAGAAGTTGTGGAGTGTGGGACAATTTCCCTTTTCCCTTTCTTTCCTTCTAAAACAACCCCCAGACACCAAAGCAGGATCGCTCTTTTTAAGAAGCATAACAGACGTTAATGGCAAACTCATTTTCCTACCACATTTCAGATATTTACCGTAAGCTGTTAGTGTATAAAGATGCCAATCATGTCTTCTTCTTCCATTTCATTTTTTCATTTCCCTTCCCAAATGACTCATCTGTGTCTCGTACTTCCTGGAGGATGTTTATCAGGCCACTTTGGGTTTGGTCAAAATACTGTTTTTCCTTTAATTTCCTCTCAAATGTGTAAAATCCACTGCTTGTTGGAATCCCTGTGTGCTTCCCAATTGGTAGGCATACAGTCATCCAAGTTAGCTAACAGAGAAATTGTGGCACGTGCCATGTCCTGCGTTTGGGACAGCTATGTCTTAAGGCCAGGTGGAAGCAGGTGGTGAATTAAGGCAGGGAACGGTGGTAAGTTAAGTGGTGATAGTACCGTATGCCATACAGCTTACCCTCTATTCTGTGAAGCAAAATTCAACTGCCAATCCGACCAGCTTCTAGGCATGGACTAGGGAGGCGCTACCTGCCATGTTGTGCTTTATCTCTGGGATCAAAATGCTTGGCCCATTCTTGCAATTATATAAATTACACGTTAGGAGACCCATAATTTCAGAGCTGCAAAACCAACCAGATTTGCAAATGTGAAAGGCTGAGGACAATAGCGGTGATGCAAGAATTCCATCTAAACCTGGGAGAGGGAGGGAATGCAAATACCAGCAATGCAATCAGTACAAATAACTTCAGATGCAAATAACAGCAAGCTAAATCACCCAGATGTGGAAGAAGAAGAGTTTCTTGTGCAGGAAATAGAGCAGGGAGCATGTATTACACTGGTGTCTCATTTCAAATTATCTCTAAATGGTGTTAAATCCTTATGGTAGCATATTTGGTGCCATTTCCTCCCCCTTTTCCCCTCCCCCTTTGCTTCTTTTACCATTTAGCCTGATAAAGAGTGCTGGAAACCTCCCAAGTCTGCTCCCTGCTACATTGCATTATACAGTATTTGGGAGCAGTTAGGGGTTGGTCCTGATAAAGGTCCTGCAATGTCTTGTTTTGATTACAGCACATGATTCCTTTGCTGAAGTGTAATAAAACAGGCGGGGAATGGGGAAAGTTCTGTGACTAATAAGATAAATACCTTTACTGTTTTTGTTACGTCTCCATTATCTCCCTACCTCTTCCCCCCCTCCCCCAATAATAAATACAGTCCCGGGATGGCTTGCTTTAAGCTCATAAAAGTGAGTCTTATATATATAATCTACGCTTTATGGTAAAAGCAGACACTGTGATTGACTCGGTCCTGCCGGCAGCTACATAAAGCTTTCTTGAATTTTGATACCAGGTATTGCTAAATGTGACATAATTTATAGCACATAACCTACAGCTTCCTCCAAGGTTGAGCGTCCCCTCATTTCCTCTCCTTTTTATTGGCTTCAGCACATTGTTGCTATAGCAACGGCAGTGGCAGTGACAGGAATGCAAAAACCACTGCAAGATGACATACACTCGAGCCCCTAACAATGTCAACCATCCATCACGCCACTATTTGTAATTGCCTCCATCTATTTCCTGTGTCTTATAGTATCTTTTCTATTGTGGATCACAAATGGAGAAATGCTGACTAATCCTGTGGTTCTGGTTGTCCATGTTGGCCCCTTCATTTCCCTCCCTTGCTGCACCTCTCCCGACTAATTGCACACATATATTGAATCAAGTTCTTAGTTCAAAATCAAGAGCCATTCACGTCTTTTCTAACATAGGGTGCAACTACACTTGAAAGCTGAATAAGAAAGCTGAAGTTTGATTTGCAGACCATATTACATCTGAAATCATGGTCAGTGCTCACACAGGGACTGCAGAATGATTTGGGAGTTCACTGTTCATGCTGGATGCAATGCGATTTGCATTCCAATCCACAGTCTGCCCTTCTTTCTTCCTCTGGACCACCTCTTCCTTCCTTCCTTCCTTCCTTCCCAACCCATAGTCTGCCCTTCTTTCTTCCTGTGGACCACCTCTTCCTTTCTTCCTTCCTTGTCCTGCTTTTGATTAGACTTTTATGAGGTGTAAATAGGGGAAATAATAATAATGAGGACCTGTTAATAGGGTGATATAGCATTAATCTCAGAGAAAGAAGAGAATGTTTGGGGCATGTTCCCCCAGTCCTGAATATCATGCCCCAACTAACTGCCTACATCTCCAAAACACCACCTACAGACACATCATCTTTACAAGAACATATCACAACAAAAAACATGAGGAAAACCCAATCAGATTGTTCTGTCCTGAAAAAGTAGACACCCCCCCCCCCGTGGCAGAGGGGAAAAAAAGCTATTTTGGGAGCAAAAAGAGATGGACTAATTTGAATCAGCCTTTGCATCATGTGTCTGGTGGGTAGCCAGCACCTGGGGTAAGGCAAGTACGGTGCTCCCTCAAGGTTGCCTTGGGAAGTGGCAGGGGAGTGGGCTTGGTGCCAGTGGACCCCCCTTCCTGCCCCGCCTCTCCATGTGGCCCACCCACCCACTTTATTTACACCAGGGGAGGGGGTCTGGGATGCTCTGGGTCGCCCTTCACCCTCTGGGCAGCAGGTCCTTTTGGCCGTTGCCAAATCCCACCTCTGCTGCCGCCTTCCCAGAAGGAGAAACAGAGTGAGCGAGGCAGTCACAGCCAGAAGAGAGGAGGCTCGCACACATTCTTGTTCTTGCAGGCTGTGTGCTCTGCCTCCCCTCAGTGCTCTGTAGCAGGACTGAAACTTTGCGTCTCTAAGAAGTTTCCACTTGGGGCAATCACCTCTGTGGCCCCATCCATGCTACAACACTAGATGTGTGCATTAAAAAATACTTCAAATTCACCTGTTTTGTAAGCGAACCAAATCCAATGATATTTGACCATATAGCCACAGCCCTAGTTCTAAATTTGGAGTACTTGAGCTTCTTGGTGGACTTGAAATTGGTTGAACCTCTTCAGTTGCTAGCATTTTCAACCATGTTAAATCTATTCTTCATATAACCAAAGTAAACCTATTAAGATATTTTCAAAGATCCAACTGTCTTCAAATTTTGTATTCGCGAAGGCTTTCACGGCCAGGATTTAATGGTTGTTGTGGGTTTTTCGGGCTCTTTGGCCGTGTTCTGACGTTTTGCCAGTCTCTGTGGCTGGCACCTTCAGAGAACAGCACTCTGTGCTCTGGTGTAGTTTGCTTGGGAGTGGAGTATTTATGGTTGTGAGATAGGCTTTTGGAGAATAGGACAAATTTCATAGAAATGAATGCTACTTTGTCTATTCCCCTGCCTTTAAAGTGTAAAACTAGCAATCTGATTCCCATCTCATAGTGAAGACCGTTTACATGATCAAGAAATAATGTAGGGAATATATTCTTGCATTAAAATT